ACTGTATAACATCCTATTCTTCTGTCTTATACTGTATTGTGCTGTATTATGCTGTATAACATTGTATTCTTCTGTTTCATGCTGTATCATACTGTATCATTCTCTATTTATTATTGTGTCCTGTCTTATTCTGTATTATAATAATACTAAATTCTATCTAAGCCCCATTTCATTTCCGAGGAAGCTATCATCCCAATTAAGATAGGAATTCTCGTGTTTTAGGTACTAGCAGAACATACATGCACCTGTACAGGCTCGAAGTTCGTAATCCAGGTGTTTGTCGACACGGGAATTATAAAAAAACCGCTGGAAGGGATACTGTGTGATACTTGAGACACACTCGGGTGGGAATGCGATAGCCTTGAGGATACCAGCCGCCATATGTGTCTTTCACCACTCATTACACAGGTTCTTAACACCTGTCCCCTATGCCTTGGCCATCAGCATAGTTGTCCATGGACTACGAAGTCATTCCCAACCTTTAGAATCCTAACATAAGCGAGTTACTGTTTACACGTTTTTCATCTCGCCGTTGTTGTAATTGGGAGAAGAAACTCGTAGAACGATTATTTTAAAACAATGCCGTACCTTTTAACGGTAATTTCTAGACGTTATGAAGTTCGCAGGAGGAATGGTAAGGCTTATAATTGAGAAATAATGCTGATGCGATTTAAGTGCTTGAAGGTTCGAGAAGATGGCCAGGGGACTAAGATCAACTCGAAACAATTTAGTGTGCATTATGAATGTAGGTAAATACACAATTGTTGGTAAATAGAAGCTTACTATAAAACTTCTAATCACAGATATGTATATTATACTTAGATTGATAAAGAAGTTACATCAGGCTCAGTAGATGACTTCAAAAAGAACTACTACAGGTACTTATTTCGCGCATGCGCAACTGCTTACTGCTGTATGTACGAAATGTATTAGGTCGTCCTATAAGTTCATGCTACTTAATCTTCTGATACTCGAATTAATTTATGAAACGTACCCTTAAGAGTCATAAGAAGACTTAATCTCTTCTGTTTTATAATATTTTCCCACATTTCCGACATAGTAATTATACAGTCACTCTAAAATTTCAGTAGCTTTTTTATTAAATATTGACTGTCTGCAGTGTGAACTTATGAGATGACTTAATATACAGGGTGTTCTAAAAACGTTGGAGGTCCTGGAAAGAGGTGGTTCAGAGGGTGATTTGAAACAATTTTGTCCTTAACGAAAATATTGCCCGAGGCTTCGTTAGGAAGATATTAACAGAAAACCCCGACCAATTAGAGCGCGTGACCTATGCTACTGCGGCTGTCTAGCGCGTAGTAGCCTATACTACTGCGGCTGTCTAGCGCGTAGCCTACGCACCGCTTATTGGTCGGGGTTTTCTGTTAATATCTTCGTAACGAAGCCTCGGACAATATTTTCGCTAAGGAAAAACTTGTTTCAAATTACCCCCCGAACCACCTCCTTCAAGGACCTCCAAGTTTTGGACACCCTGTGTGTACTTGACACACAATTATCTGTATTACACAGATGCAGGTGACTTGACCATTGAACTATACTAATAAATCTCATAAATAATTAAAAATCAGGCACAAACAAAGTATAGAACGTTAGAATTCTTCTCATATAAGCAAAGAGAACCTATTTAACCCATCCGTGAGAAAATTCACTGCCTTATAGGGCCATTGGTTTTGATAATAACTTTTATTAATCTCCTTTGGTACAAACTCTGACAACCAATTAACCATTCGTAGATTGCATCGCCATCAATAAAACGTCACACTGTACATACAAGACCGAACCATTGGCCCCTTTTACCCTAAATTTAACTACAACCAATCAACCATTCCGTGGATTCCATCGTAATCAATAAAACGTCACACTGTACATACAAGACCGTGCCATTGGCTTCCATATTGACCCCTTTTTCCCTAAATTCAACTACAACTAATCAACCATTCGTGGATTCCATCGCCGTCAATGAAACGTCACACTGTAGGATGCGCCATGGAGCATGAAGGGAGGCGTGTAATTCCATGAGATCGAAGAAGCCCTTTCTAGCAACGGAATTCGTTATTCCGCGAAGCGTGGCAGCCTTGACAGTGATTCCCCGGCGGCAGAGTGTGCCTCAGCTAACGAGTGATTATACTCCAGGGCAGCTTGACGATGATGGTGATGATGATGAATTTATGACGATGATTATCTCCCGTGGCGTACCGATGTGTCGCCACCGGTGTTTGTCTTTCAGACGAGCTTGGAACGACGCGAATAAAAAAAAGAACGGCTACGGAATGATGGAATGAGTCTGGTTCGCGGTTGGTTAAGGATTGTTCCTCCTAATGGCGTTGACACGCGACAGCTCGCTGACAAATTAGGGCTAATTGATTGGGATTGGGATGCGCGAGGATTGATCGTGGGAATTCTGAAAGACGAGCTGGTTTGCGCGAATGGGATTCTTTTTTTGATGAGATTGTGATTCCCTGTGTCAGTTTACGCTATACAGCTATAAATCAACTCGTGTGCACTTCGTTGATTGGACAACCGTCACTGTGCAGTATTTCACACGGCCTGGCAACGAGTGATCGAAGGAGAGAAACTTTTTCTAAATGTTTGCATGCGAGAGCGAGGAGTGACACTCCGGTTCCATGAAACAAGGTATCATGATTAACGTCTTGGTACGATACACCTGAGAAATTATAGTTTATTCATTTTAACTCGTTCAATTTTAATAGTGTAACTCTTCATTTATTTGCATTTAAAAAAATGTGTCTATATGTTTTATTTTATAACCCCAAACAAGGAACGAAAAGAGTACTTTAATTGAAATAATATGATTCTTCATTCATTTGAATTAATTCTATTTGAATGATATAATTCTTCATTCATTTGAATTAATTCAATTTAAATAATATAACTCTTCATCCATTTGCATTCATAAAAGAGGAGCCTTACACATTTAATTTTGTTACTCCAAGCAATACACAAAAGGGGTAGTTTAATTTGAATAATATAACTCTTCGTTCATTTGCATTCATAAAAGAGGAACCTTACACATTTAATTTTGTTACTCGAAGCAGCAAACAAAAAGAACAGTATAATTTGAATTCAAGTCCAATGGTTGCTAATACCTGTCTAATATAAATATCACCGCAAGTGCATTACTTCGAGTATGAAAATGCAGTTTCCTAGGTGACTTGCACCTGTACCATTCTTCAGTCATGCGCTCGCCGCGACATCGTACTTTCATCGCATAGGAATGACACGAATTAATATTCCAGCTGTGTAAGATATGATGTGCGGAGACTCCAAGCATTATTCACGGTTCCGGTCATGAATACGCATAGCCAGCCACTTCTTTTTCTTCTCCTTTTCACCCGAAACAAAATAGAGCCTGTCTCCAACTTCCGCGCCATCACGATTCGCCTTGGGACTCTTGTAATTGCTGTATAATGACTCGTTTAACCTTTTCAGTTATCAGATTCGCTCAATCGCAGAGGAACCTTAACTATTAAGGTTTACCCTTTGCATTTTAGATACTTTGATAATTACAGGTATGGCATAAGGGATTGTTTTTCATTTAGATAATGGGGTAGTAATGCAGAATTTTGTTGATGCAGTGTTGTTGCAATGTTTATAGTTTGTTGATTAAGTCTTTACTCTTAACATTCATCCAACACATTTCCTAATGGAATTCTCAGTAGAACTGGTGCAATCCCTTAATGTATATATTTATTGTAGTCCTACTGTATAAAGATTAAGACTTTTATATTTCACATATATATTTATTGCTTGCAGAGAGTGCTTATTCATCCCTTCCCACTCCCTACCATCAAAATTCATTTAACACCATCTGTTATGCTAAAATCTCATAGTTCCATTAACAAAGCATTAACAAAGTAACATAAGTGTCCGCAAAAAGAGTAACTTCCTGTGCTGCATTACAAATGTGTCATGGAAATAATGTTGCACTGAACTCCGAAATCAGCTATCTGACTTTTATATATATATATATATATATACACACACAATGCACATACGGTACTCATACTCAAAACAGCACAGGCTTTGTTCAGCATGTTTCGTGATTCGGTATGCCGATTGGGTTCGGTCAAACGCTTTGTATTCCGTTACAGGGATGCGGACAGCTTCTGTCCTCGCATACGCGATCCTTTGTTTTAAACACGTTGACCCTGGTTGTGTGATTCTCTCCTTGAGGAGCGCGGTGTTCGCACCTGTAAATATTTGTTTCGCGTATTGTTATTATCATTGTCGAACGTATCCGTTATGGATGTGCGAAAGTATGTATCGATGTTTAATATTTATCTTCAGCACTCGGTTTCAGGGGCGTTACGTTCCGTTCATGTAGATGTTCATTCTCAAGGTCAGTTGAAGGTCAAAGATTAAATTTCTTTCTGTGCAGCTTGAATTTTGTTTTTCTTTTATAATCGTGTGCATCAGTTAAATTGAATGTCATGTCGTCATAATACGTTCAATTCCTCTCAATATTATCAATAATATCAAATAGTAAACAAACATAAATTACAGTTTTAAATATAGAAGATAAAGACTGAATTGGAGGTGACCTTGACAATTTGCACAAGTTAT